CAAAACCATCAAGGTATAGTCATGTCCCGGAAAGAAAAGGGGAGACAAAATGAAAAAGGAAGGGGAGGAGCTTGAAATCTTCCAGTACATCTGTCGGAGTAAAAACAAACAATACAGAATTGAACATGACACTACGAACACATTTCCCCCTTTCTCATTGCACAAGTGATAGCAGCACCCATACGTTTTTCTTCAAAACTGTAAACTGCACCTTTTCTTTTAAAAGTACAAGTTAAAACAACAGTCCTAGTGAAAAGCTTTCCCATGAATGTATATAAAATGCAAGGAAAAAGAAAAAAACATATAAAAATAGATAAAATTGATCTTATATGCATATAAAAAGAAATCTCAAATGCAGTGTAGACCTAGCACTTGGTAAGCTGACCTGAATGATCACTGGGGGAGAACCGTGGCTGCAGTGTTGGAAGAACGAACAAGAAAGCACTGTATTCCCTTCCATTTTGTGAAATCCAGGAATCGCTTTATTGTTCTGGAGGCAGCCCATGGAGCCAAACAGTGGTGACAGTCACACAGTCAGAGCCCTGGGCTGCCACACCCCCGGGCCGATCCAGAGGACAAGACAGGCAGAAGCCCACAAACACGTGCCTGTGCTTCTCAGATGAACAATGGCAAGAATGACACATTGAACTAGTCCCAATTCTTAAACGTCTGCAACTGCAAACTACACAGAAAGGAGTAATCGCCACATCAGCCTAAAGTCTTACTTCGCATACTAACATAACACAGAACCGTGATACAACTTCAAAATTCTGGTCCTCCTGCACCCTTGGAGAAGGAGAAAGGAATCAGACTACTGAGTTTGTGCATGTGCACAGGTGTTGGCGGCTGCACACACCATCTCTGTTCATTGTTTACGGTGCAGGACTTAAAAGATGTTGAAAATGTAAGCTTGTCGGTGGCTTGCCTTTTCGCAGTGGGAATAGCAGACGAGGGTGGTAGGGCAAAGCTCTGGCTTGGTTCCTATCACCCCTCTTGGGGACACCAATCACGCCTTTGGCTCCCAGCCAATTTGGCATGGCTCTATCGTCTAGACTTTAGACAACATTAGATCTTTCTGCAACTCAGCTGTTCCCAAGAGCTGAACGGGGACAGCACTGCCGCCAGAAGATGCCCGGCTTCTCCGTCCAAAGGCACCCCCCAGATCCCCTTTTGTGTCATTTGAACTCCAAGAGCCGTCTTATGCATTACGCCAAATCGGGAGGTACAACCCAGGACTGTGCCATCTGACGGCATGCAGGGTGTGTGTGATACTGTTTTTAATGTTCCCCGTATTAAAAATGCCCCACAACCAGGGGTCATTTCCTGCAGGAGCGCACAGGAGCGGAGCTCCGGCAGTAAAGAGCCCAGGGGGCGGGCACATGCAACAAGCACCACCCCCTGCTCCCAGCAGCCCTCAGTCAGAGCAAGAAGCAGCCAGGTAAGTTGCAGAGCTCCCCCTGGTCCAAAACAGTCCAGGGGCACCTTCAAGACCAGGTTTTATTCAGGTACAAGCTCTCCCTCCTCTGCGAGGACAGATCTGTACATTCCCGCCCCCCATAGCTAGCAATCCAAAACAGTCCAGTGGAGCCTGAGCAGTGGGTGGGTCCAGTGATGTCAGGGGGTGTGACATATGCACATAAATTATGCTAATAAATTATGCTAATGAGCTCCTGCACCTCTTTTTCTATGAAATGACCCCTGCTCCACACCTATTTAAAGACTGATACCTCACTTTTTGATCCCACGATCATCGTGGTGGCTTACAGAGCCCTTAACCTTCTGCCATGTACTTGAGGGTACAATCCGGTGGTTTCCCCTCCCATCGAAAGCCCCAAGGCAGCCAGCATGCCAAACTGAGGCTTATGCTGCACTTTTGTGCTAGTTTTCTACATACAGGGATTTTAAAATATATATATATATATGAGAGAAATAATACTTTAAAAAGAGCCTCTGGGCTTGTGCCTAATCTGGGACAAGCCAGGATTCTACCGTCTCATTCAGTGTAACGTGCAAAGGACTTTACTAGCCCAACAGTTCCTGCTGCAGCTCTCTTCTTTTCAACAGCTGAATTTGAATCCAGGAGAACCTCAGAGAACAGCAAGATTCTGAGGGTATAATCTGACGGAGGGAGGTCGGACACGCGAATGCTTACCCCCCCCCCCAATCTCATTGGTCTCTAAGGTCCTAATGGACTTGAATCTGGCTGCTCTTTTGGAGACTAACATGGCATGGCTACCCCCTGAAATTATCTTCCTTTAGACAGGTGGAAATCCACCAAGCAGGAAGGGCCACAGGACCAAGCCCCCTCCAGGGCAACATTTCCATGTGCTGGTTCTTGCCCCCAGATGAAGTAAGACTACACATTTATGAGATTTTTTAAAAGCAATACATTCGAGAAAACCCTTTGGAAACAGGTCAATTTACCAAGGCAGAGCCCAACAGTTTGTACACATTAGTATATAAAATGGTTTTTTTTTCTTTAAAAAAACAACCACCAAATCATTCCATTAAATATGTACAACCAAAAATGCTAGAAGACACACATTTACAGATAAGAACATTCTAGTTTTTTTACATATACATTAGCAAAAGTGACACCTTTTGACAACAAACTTCACGAGATGTCTTTGGTGGCATGTTTAAATGGAAAAGATACCCCCCCCCCCCCAACACAGCCAAGAATACAAGGCCAAGAGTGGCCACTGTGAAAAGCTGTCCACGGTGCAGACGGTTTGATCGTGAAAAAGAGTCCTGGTGTGTGAACGACAGCAAATCAAAATGGGGATGGAATGAGGCAGGCCCACGATCCCCAAATTGGAACCCCGTCTATCATACAGGATTGTTCACCAGCTGCCTAACAAACAACACCACCCCCCCTTTGGCAGATGTTGGTAGATTGAATATCACCCCCCTCCCCAATCCAAATGCCTCCTTGTAAGACAGAAGGAAACCGATGCTGATTCTCCCCAAAGCTCCAGCTGCCTCCTAGATTTCCCACATCAACATTGAGGGTTCAGGGTCACCTTATTGTCTCAGGAGAAGCTACAGCTGGAAGCAGAAGACAGGAGCTATTCCACTCCACGAGTGTTCACTTCTGGCTTTCTGGATTCCACCCTTACCAAACTCCTGTTGAGCTGCCTGCCACCGGCTCAGAAGATCACACCTCTTGCCAGCCTGAAATAGACATCCCAGTATGGGAAGATTTCAGAATCTGGATGGATCGTCTTGGCCGGCCACTCCAACATTCATTTATGGCAAATCTTAGATTTATGCTTGCTTCTCAGAAGCTCGGTCCCTAGTTAGGAGATCCTCCGTCCCACCCGTTAGTAAACTCGAAGAGTAGGAAAGAGTTGAAGGAATAATGCAGTTCTCAGAGAGGCAAGAACTAGGAATGGAGTAAGCCACAAGTTCTCACAAAGGCTAAAACTAATCTATGGAGGACCAAAGGCTATTCCCCTCCCATAATAGGTAAACAGAACCTGAATGGCAGTGCAGGGGCAAAAAGCAAAGGAGAGTTATTGCCTTTAGGCCTCGTTTCTTTTTGCTTCCGAAGGTCATCTTACTGGCCAATCTTGGAAACAGGATGCCCACACAGACCTCTAGTCTGACCAGCAGGACTCCAGTGTCCACTTCAGGTGGTAGACAGAAAATGCCATGGAAGTAGCGTGTGTGTGGGGGGGGGGGGGGGGGGGGAATGGGACAGATTTGATCTCCAGAGCATCAGTCCACCAAGAAGCCTTTCTGCACAAAGCTTGTTGAAAGCACCCCAAAGCTCCTGCTTGTTTCGACAACACTCACGCAGGGCGATTCCTCAGCGGATTGTGCCCTTGCTTAATTCATCATTGGGTTTGTGTATGCCAAGGTGCCATTTGAGTATTCTGCCTTGGGCAGTCTTGGACCAATCCTAGGCTGGAGAGAGAGAAGAGCCCCCCCCCCCCCCCCCCCCCCGCCACCCCCCACACCGCCCTATCACCGACACCCAGCTATTTGACTTGTTATAGTACCCCCCCCCCCCCCCCCCCCCCCTTTTGCACCCTTCATCACAATCTACAGATTCCAGCCCGCCAAGATGATGTGAGGAAATTGCAACATGGCAACTCCAGGTGTTAATCCACTGACAGCTTTTCTGAAATACTGCAATCCAGTAGAGAAACCAGTTCCACCGGAGCAAATAGGCCATATTCACTAAGGTTTAGATTTCAGCCCAAGTATTCCAGCGTGACTAGTTCGGTGACTGAGCTTAGTTTATTCCAGGTACTGTGGGTACCCAGGAAAAGACAGTTCGGCCAGACATTCTACTAAAAGAAGACTTAAAAAAAAAATCATCCCCTTAAAAATCTGCGACTGTGTCACTGCTTTGCTGTCACTGCTCTCCCAAAAGCACGTCCTATCTAGGGAGTCATCTTCTCCCTTGTCCCGCATTGCCCATTTTAACCAACCAAGCTATTATCATAGCTTTGCAGCTGGTTCCCACCCATGCCCTCGACGTGCAAAAGGCTGTATGGATTTCCCCTGCCCTGTGGATGCAGCCATTCACTTTCCCACAAATGGCTTTCCTCAAGAAACTGGAAAACTGAATATCTACCACTTTTTAATCCTCAGCAAACCATTCCAGTTAAAACCACGAGTACCTAAAAGAAAAAGGGCAAGGCTTTGGCCACCTGCTGGCTTCGGAAAGTGACGCCGCCCCTTCAACTCAGAAGGCCAAGATTGAGAGGCTAACAGATGGGTCGACTGTGTAATCCAAGGTGCCCATGCGCTGGACCTGGCATCCTTCCTCCGGCCCTTTACCGGGCAGCTATGGAGGCTCACGTAGTGAAACAGCAATATTGTTAATCTAGGGAAGAGCACCAACAGCAGAATTCCCACTCTGCACCATCCTCAGCACTGAGGACGTTACCCCCAACTCTAGTGTAAAGTTAACGGTTTGCAATATTTCAAATCCCACCACAACCCTTGGAACCCATCCCAACCTAGCCCACTTCCGACCCTCACACCTGCTATTTGGCTGCCGTTACATTCATTGTGACATTCTGACAACCAGCCGAGGGTGTGTCCCAGCACCCGTCTCTCCCTTTCGGCAGGTTGTCCTTTGAGCTCCTGCAATGCTCAGCCTCACCATTGCTGCAGTGAAGCTGGGGCCCTCCTTCCACCATGTCCATAGGCTGATACGCAGCCGGCTTGTTGGGGGAACAGGCCAACGCAAAGCTGGAAGGTAATTCAGCACCGCTATCTCCCAAAGGGAGCACCCAAGCCAGCTTTTTAGCCACGCTGTCCCCGCAATGCCTGCGGGAGGTAGAGGATACTTCTTGCGACTCGACTGGAGCTTGCAGAGGGAGATTAGAAGGCCTGGCCATCAGTCTCGGCACCTGAGGCGCTGGATTATTGGTCCCATCGTGTTGAGGTCTCCCAGCAGTCTCCTTCACAGAGTTCTGCGGCACAGACGTGAAAGGCAACTCTGCATCGGGCAGTTCCAATGCTTCCCGTGTGCTCTGGCAGCCCAGTGCATTCAGATCGCAGTCCCACCGTTTTGCTTCTTGAGAAGAAAATTCATCTGCACCGCGGGATGCACTCCGTAGTCCTGGCCAAGGAAGGGTGCCTCTGCCTTCCGTTTCTTCTGCAGAACTTGGAAGGTTCTCCCGGCCAGTGCTCAGTCCCGGCGCAACAGAGTTCTTTTTGCAGCCGCCCCGTTTAGGCCAAAGCTCACAAGGCTTCAGGCCATTCTTAGATGGCTGAGAACTTCCAAGCTCAAACTCCAGACTCTCAGTGTCCAGGGACCGGCTTCTCCTGCAGACGGACAATGGCTCTGGCATGGGTGGGCTCAGCTCCTGAAGCCGGAGACAACGGGGAAGGCTTGCGACACCCCAGTTACAGCTTTGGAAAGAGCTCTGCGGGTACCCAGGAAACATTCTCTCATCACATTCAGCGAAGGATTCTTTCGGGACATAGCTATCGTCAAAGGCCTCAAAGGACACAGTAATATCCTCGTCGGTGTTCATCTCCAAGTGCTGCTCACACTCCCCTTCGCCTTCCTGCTCAACATCGACGATATCAAACGTGACCATAGTCGGGAGGGCGGGAAGGTTCTGAGTGAATGCGGAGCCAGAGTCTGAGCTCCCGAGGCTTTCAGAGAGGCTGGAGAAGAGAGTCCCGCTGCTAGTGAATTCCACCAGCGCTTGAGAGTAGTTCACAGCCTGCTCTGGCTCGCATTTGCTTTCTGTGCGGGACTCTCGAAAGTCAGGTTCGGTTCCGCCGTGATGCTCGCTCGGTGGGCAACTGTGGCGGCCGTGTGTTCGGTAGAAAGGGTACGTCACAGATTTTTCCAAGGCCAAGCTGCTCAAAGCATAGGACTCGAGCACCGTATGCTCCACATCAGAACCCAACATGACGCCATTTTTCACAAACTCGCTAAGGCAACTGCCATGGGCTTTGGGGGCACAACCGCCATCAGAGTGTTTTTGGGGGCACAGCATCTCCTGCAAGTCCCTCCAGTCTTGGTTTTCAGCTGAGATGCCAGCGTTGAGGCTTCTGCTCAAAGCGTGAGGAGCACCCCGCTCACAACCGAGGCAACTTGGACATTTGCCAACCAAGCCAGACATTCTCGTTTTACATTCACTGCACTCCTTCTCCCTGGGACGCTGGTCCTGGCTGAGCATATCCAGGTGCTTCAAGACCGGCTCTCGCTGCATCTCCCAATACAGAAGCTGCTTCTGAATGGCAGCCAGCCTCTCCTCCTCTGTTTCCATCTCTCCGCTCTTCTGCCCCATCATCCGAACCAAATCCTTCTCTGCGGGGAGAGTAAAGTCCAAAAACTGGCCAAAGGTCTTGGAGGGGGAAGCTTTCCTGTCAAACCAGGACTCGTTCCCATGAGAAGGACTCATGAGCCCGTCATCGGGCTCATAAAATTCGTAAAGAGCGTCACCGCTGTAGCTGTCCCTTGGGAGGCGATCCTTCTTGATTTCTTCATCTCCAGCTTCATCCTCAGGACCTGGGGTGGTTGAGTCATAGTAACCCTCATCGCTGTTGGGAGCAGATTCTTGTTGGTCACTGTGTGGCGTGAGGAGGTCCACGTCATGCCTCGTGCCTTCGGCATGGAGGTGAGGACCCTGCTTGCAACTGTTCACTCCCTGGAGCTCGCTGTTTGTCACGATCTCGGGTAGGTGGGTCTCGTAAGTGGCGGCGTCCCCTTTGGCGGCACCTTCCCACACCTGCTGGAGATACTCCTCCATATCATCAGGCATAGCCATCTCTTCCCCTCCACCCTGGTAAGTGACAAGGCAGGAACTCCTTTTGGTGGCATCCCTACTCCGCCCTGCAGAGGCGGAGCTTTCGGTGATACTGTCAATATCCGGCTCGGCGATAATGTCTCCACAGCCGGTGAAAGAGTCAAAGCTTTTAAGGGAAGTCACATCTCCAAATATTAAGCTAAGCTGGTCCCCAGAAGGGACAGAAGGAGGATCGCCATCTAAGTACTCTGGCTGCAGAGCATCTGGAAGGCCATCGTAGGTAGAGCTTACACAGAGGGTGTCACCCACCTCCAATTCAACATCTGGAGTGTCTTCGCAGCTCGCCATCCCAGTGCCCGCATCCCCTTCGGAATGGTTTTCCTGAGCTACCAGCTGGTCCGTCTCCTTAGATTCACCAAGGCTTGCCTTTATTCCAGGAGCAGCTTGATGATGAAGGTTCTCCCCGGGCTCTGGAGGAAGCACCATGCTTTTTAGAGCTGTCTTCTCGGAAGCCTGCTCGGTTTCAGCGCCCACCTGCTGGCTTCCTTGGCCTCGCTCTTCGGCCACGGCCCCCCTGGAAGTCCATTCTTGCAGCTCGGTCCTCTTCCGATGGTGCTGAATGCTGTTGAATAGCCCCTTCAGCCCTTTCTTAGGCCGCGGGAGGAAGAGGGGTTTCTCTCCACTGGGCTTCTTCTCAAAGACGTCGGAACTCCCACACAGAGAAGTCGACCGCCCAACGAAAACAACCTGAGGGCTGGTCTCCGTCGCCAAAAGAGCACTCTGGGAGCTCGGCAGCTGGGGAGAGGGGAAGTCCGTGCCACCGTCCGAAGGGCTCCGGAGGCGCCCCCCAGTAGCGTCCTCACATCCCACATCACTGAGGCCATCGTGAGTTTTGCTCTTGCACAGGCCCTTTTTAGAGGCTCCCTTCCCTTGGCCTTTGTTTTTCCCTCCAAAGAAGCTGGGCAGCGAGCAGATGCTCCTCTTCCCACCGAAGAGCTTGAAGGCCGTTTTCTTCAACTTGCCTGCGGCTGCTTGCTGCCGGTTCTGCTCTGCGGCTGCGAAGGAGGCATCGCTCTGTCCGGAGAGCCGGTCAGCTGCCCCAATCTCTTCCTGCGGCTGCCGATTATGGTCCTCGAGTCCACGAAGGGCTGATGGAGACCTGGCTCCGACTTTCTCCTCGATACGGGAGGCACCTGCAGCAGCCATTCTAGCATGCATGGTTAACTGCAAACGGAGAGTCTGGTGGCAGCATCTTCCTCAGCACGCACTGGCTGAAGCATCATCGCTCACCTGGGAAAAAAGGAGAGGAAAAGGGGAGAGAGAGAGATTATTTCACAGATGCTTGGGAGTAATTAAAACACATATCTAAATGCTTTAGAAGGGGATGTGGTGCTACAGGAGTGCACACTTTGTGTGCAGCAGTTCCCGGGTTCAATCCCTGGCCCCTCGAGTTAAAGGACCTCAGGGAAGGAAGTCCTTTCTTTGCCCGTGACCCTGGAGAGCTTCTATGAATCAGAGTGCACAGTACTGAGCTAAATGGATCAATGTTCTGATTGCACAGGAAGCAACTTCATACCTCTGGTCAAAAGCAGAGTCACAACCAGTGTTCCCTCTAAGCTGAGTTAGTGTGAACTAGCTCACGGTTCTTTAGCCTGCAGCTCACAGATTTTTGTCTGAGCTCAGGAAGGATGGCTCCAGAGCGAACTAATTTATGCAGGAGCCAAACTGCTTGCTCACAACTTTAAGGTCAGGAGCTCACAAAGTGGAATTTTTGCTCACAAGACTCCACAGCTTAGAGGGAGCATTGGTCACAACCACTAGCGTACTTAAAGCTTCAGTGATTTTAGCAGCTGCAGGTTGGCCAGAGGTACCGTGATGGCGTAAGGCCTACCAGCAGAATGTCATTCTGCTTAACAACAGTAATAACACATAGGCCTCTATGACCGGGGAAAAGCTGGCAGATCTAGGTGGGAAAATGTGATTTACTAATTGGATCCAACGGCAAATAAACAATAATTTTCTCTAACAAACACCAATAAATGGCTGCCCTGCTGTTCACCGCTCAGTCGGTCTTTCCCCTTCCTCCCTTTGCCGCAGCCCTAAGACTGATGAAAAGGAGAGCTGCTTGAGCTTATCAGTATGATAACGGATAAAAAAGCCTTTTCTTTCAAAATTAAGTGCAATCTTGCCAGTACGACGACAAGTGATTAATAAACAAAAATTGTTGCTAGCTCATCGGAACCAATGCTAGAACAAAACTTGAATCCAGTGGCACCTTTAAGACCAACAAAGTTCTATTCTGCGTACACACGAAAGCTTATACCCAGAGTAAAACTTTGTTGGTCTTAAAAGTGCCCCTGGATTCAAGCTTTCTTTTGCTGCTTCAGACCAACATGGCTCCCCACCAGAGACAATGCTAGACACTTGAGACAGAAATGTCAAAAAAAAAGTTCTAAAAACACCCAACTGGCCTCCTCGCCTGATTGCCTAAAAGCAATATGGACTCGCCACAGGAGATCAGCTGAGGATCAGAGTGCACACAAAGCTGCCTTATTCGGCTGGCTCCCTATCTCACCTCTCAGGACGTAGCTACGGTGATCCCACACCATGGTCCCTTCCAGGCTGGATGACTGCAACTCGCTCTACATGGGGCTACCCTTGAACCTGACCCAGAAACTGTAGCTAGTCCAGAATGTGGCGGCGCACCTGCAGACAGCCACGCCTTTGCAGGTGCACAGACAGCCAGAGCTTCGCTGGTTGCACTGGCTGTCAATTGAATATCGAATCCAATTCAAGGTTATGGTAAAGGTAAAGGTTCCCTTGCTCGAAAGCCAGTCGAGTCCGACTCTAGGGTTGCGGTGCTCATCTCTGTTTCCAAGCCAAAGAGCCAGCGCTGTCCGAAGACGTTTCCGTGGCCATGTGGCCGGCATGACTAAATACCAAGGTGCACGGAACGCTGTTACCTTCTCACTGAAGCGGTACCTATTTATCTACTTGCAATTTCTTGCTTTCGAACTGATAGGCTGGCAGGAGCTGGAACTAGAGACGGGAGCTCACTCCATCATGCGGCACCCGGGTCTCAAACTGCTGAACTACCAACCTTCCATAGCCTGCAGTTCAGTGTTTAACCACTTGAGCCACCACAGCTCCTCAAGGTTATGGTACTGACCTTTAAAGCCCTACATGGCCTGGAAGCAGCATATCTGCAGGACTGCCTCTCCCCATATGTGCCCTGGAGAGCCTTGCACTCTGTAGATCAACACCTCCTGGTAATCCTAAGAGACGTCCGCTTAGCCTCAACCAGGGCCAGTACTTTTTTGGCCCTGGCCCCAGCCTGGTGAAACAGGCTCCCACTTGAGATCAGGGCCCTGTGAAAGCTATTACAAGTCCGCAGGGCCTGTAAGACGAAGCTGTTTCACCAGGCCTTTGGCTGAGGCAGTGGATGTTAAACCATCCCAGCCTCCCCTATCTTTGATACCTGTCCAGTGCTTCCTAGACACTGTTTATCATCTATGGGGCACTATATTTTAGGTACCTCCCACCATCTGATTAAAAACTGTTATAAATCAGGCCATCTACCATCGCCTGTTAAAATGTCACCGGAGACACTGGATTATTCATGTTTAACACCATCTTGTTTGAACTGCTTAATTGTTTAACTGTTTTTATATCTTGGGTTTTATTGCTTTTAATATGTTGTGAGCTGTGCCTGGAGCCCATTTATGGGGTAGGACGGTATACAAGTTATTAATTAAATAAATAAAATTTTAAAAAAATCACGGCCCTTCAAAGTCAGTATTGTCTACCCAGACTGGTAGCTGCTCGCTCTCCAGGGTCTCAGGGGATTGAACCTGGGACCTACTGCATCCAAAGCAGATGCTCTACCACTAAGCCACAGGCCCTCCCCAAGGGCAGCCAAAGGACTGCCTTCTCCCACACCATCCTGCTTGCCAATTAAGATCCTCATCTCAAGACCTACCTTGTAGGCCCCTCACCTGCAGAATGGGTGTAGAAATGAGAAGTATTTGGACATTTTGGGGCCATGGGGAGAACAAATTTAACTTGCTTTCCCTTAGGCAGGAGACGGACAGTTTGGGAAAAACTGAAACATATATAACACTTTCTGATCAAACCTACATTTATTGTACTGCTTCAACAACATACAAATCAACTATATAAAACTGGCTTCAGGACTGCCTCAAATTTTATCTCCTAGCTGCAGGCAGTCCTTTGGTGGGGCAGGGAAGAAATGACCCAAGTGAAAACTTGCAAGCTTTAAATTCATTGCCACTGAGCAATACAGCTCACAACAAAAACGTTAGCAATTGATCACGCATTACTTTTCTAGCCCTAGAAGATTTCTGAAGCTCATTCAAACATCAAAAGAGCAGCACAAGGTTCCCATCCAGGTTCAAAGGACTGGCTCATGCACACCTTTCAGGGAGGACCCCGAATAGTCAAGAGTGTTTGTTGCGGGTACTTTTTATGCCTCAAAATAACCACAAACCAAATGTCCTTGGGGGATAACCAAACGTGGAATGAAACACAGGGCGGAGTGTGAGACAGCGTATCCCCCAATGGGACACCTGGATCCACTGTGGATTATCCTAACCACAAAAGGCCTGAGGCCTTGGGGCAGCCTCTCCCTGAGCGGAGCGCCTCCGTCTTGGAGAGAAAAGGTGATTTTGTACCAATAATACCCTGTTCTGTTTAACTACTAACAGAGCAACAGCCCTTCCTCCTTGGCATCTGCTCACCCACCTTTTCCCTCATGCCCACATTGCTTCCTTCTAGGAAGACTACAGCCAACTTTATGGTTTGGCACTAAAGAACTGAGGCAGGAATCGCTTCCATTCCATTATGCCAACGGGATGCATATACAAAGCCATACGGACTGCGGAACGATCACCTGTCCCTGAGACTATTTCAACCGTCCTGTCGTAAGGAGGCTACCACCATTTCGGGCATGAGGCCCACTCAAAAACTTCCTGTGGGGTACTGTCAGTTAAGCGGGGAGCCCTTCATCGACAGCCAGCCACATTTTACCACCGCTCCGCAATCCACCAGAGACATTAAGGGAGCAACAATGTGGTAAAATTCACCTCCCAGCATTGCCAAACCGCCAGAGACAATTTGCTCTCCGTTTAACAGTGACATTTGGATTGTTTGACAGCAGGTTCGTGGCAAACCACACTGAACCCAGTTCAATGGCTATACATTTCTAAACCCACCCAGTACTTGAGGAATCATTCAGTTTCGCAAGACCAGGCGTCCATGAGGCTTAATGGTGAACTGCCATACATAACTGGAGAAGCATTTTGGTGTAGTGGTTAGGAGCGTGGACTCTAATGTGGGAGAACTCAGCTTGATTCCCCACTCCTCCACATGGAGTTGCTGGTGTGACCTTGGGCCAGTCGTAAGTTCCTTCAGAGCTGTTCTCTCACGAGCAGTTCTCCAAAGAGCTCTCTCAGCCCACCGACCTCACAGGGTGCCTGTTGTGGGGAGGGGAAGGGAAAGGAGATTGTAAGCTGCTCTGAGACTCCGAGTGAAGGGCGGGGTATACATCCAATCTCTTCTTCTCTTCTTCTGAGGGGCTACATTCGGCATGGGGGTGGGTGACATGGCAGGGAAAAAGCTCCTCTTCTTTCTCATTCATAACTGGATTTGTTGGGAAAGCAGGGTTCCCCCCCCCCCCTTTTCAAAGGATTCATTTTGACATCTTTATTCCCCAGAAAGTGCCGGAAGAAGTCTTTGCCTGTGAGCCATAGGGTTCGGGGTATCATCCTGCCTGTGGACAGAGAGGCAAACCATGACCTCTCAGTAAGCAAGCGACAACAGCCCATCCAATGGCTGGCTCTCACATGGGCCGAAACAAGAGAGCGGCCTTTCCATCTGATTACCTCAGTGATCGCTCTCTGCCTCACACACAAATTCTAAATCAATGAGCTCATCCCGCCACACACAGGAGAATTCCAGAATGCCAGCATGGGCAGTTTTGCTGTGAACAACTTGGGTTTTGGGGCGAGCCAATTAGTAGCAACAATAAAATAAGGGTGAGCTTCAGAAGATTTTCAACACTGGCGCCAAGGGAAAGAAAAACAGCCTGGTCTGAGCTCTGTCAAGTGGGGCAGGCCAGGAGGATTCAGGTGTATTTACCCTCATGTCATTCCACTCACAGATACAGAGGGACGACCCTTTAAACAGAA